TGAGATATTTATAGAAATGATCGGAGTTCATTTATTATGATTTGAATATTTATGGAATATGAATATAGTTTATTAATTATGATTAATACTTTATATATATATATATATATATATATGAGGTCATTCAAGAGAAAACTGTTAGTTTGTGATAACTGTGAGATCCAATCTCAACCTCAAATCAATGATTAAATTAGAAAACCAATAATTTTGATAATTTGACTTAATTAAAAGGTATTTTAGGTATTTTAAAATTTTTATCTGTCATCTTTCTAGTGAACCTTATTCTTGCGAACCTTATTACATTAAACACATGATGCACATTATAATACCCTTCATAAAATAATGAAAAAACACAGTACTTGATACATTGTGTTACACTACGTAAAACAACAAAAATACATTGTCATACACTTCGTATAACAACAAAAACACACTCTGATATACATTATGATACTAGATCTAGTTGATGAATACAACTGTGATACCATTGTATTACACCCGACGTTACATCTCCAACGATATCTAGGTTGCATCCAAAAACCTTACATCTCCGGCGTTACATCTCCAATGATATATGGTTACATCTTTGTCGATATCTGTGTTACATCTCCGGCAAGATATGGTTACGTCGCCGATCTAAAACGAGATCTGTGCAAAAACCAGAAACTGAAACCCATTTGGGTGTGCAGAAACCAGATTTGTGCGGATATGAATAACCAAAACCGATCTGGGTTGTTTTTCTCGATTGGAAGAAGCCATCGAACTAGTTGAGATGCTACAGAGTTTATGGTATAAGCCAGATTTGTGTGGCTCTCCGTTCACTATCAATGTGGTTGAGACGGAGATGGTCGGGATCGGCGGCGAGAATGGTCAGGATCAGGCGACGAGAATGGTGGAGATTGGCAGCAAGAATGGTTGAGATCGATGGAGCATGTGGACTTTTTGGAAGAGGGTACTAAGGGAGGACGAAGAAACGACCGGCCAAATTTATTTGGAGTTTCAAATTCCAAAAAGATTTAACATTTAGGATTTTATAAGTTGTAAAATTTACTAATTTACCATTTGTTTTATTTTAGTAAGTAACATTAATTATCTAAAATGATTGATTAATATTGGACCTTACAGTTACCACAAACTATTTTGTTTTTATTTGATTAGACCTTTCTCTCTCTCTCTCTCTCTATATATATATATATATATATATATACTATCTTATAAAGCAAATTTAACAAAAGTCTTAAAGTCTTACAATACTAAATGACCAAGATACCCTTTATATCACTTTTTCATCCCCTCCTCTACTCACATATACTCACCCCCTCACATACACTCACCCTCTCACAACCCGATTTTTTTTAAATTATAATTTTAAATTTACACTTTATAATCTTATAATTAGTTAATTAATTTACTTTACGTCTTTTACTTTTAAATATTTCATTTTAAACCTTTATCAAATTAATATACATAATCGTACATCAATTAAAACATGTTTAAAATACATTTTTTTAACAAGTTACATCATTATAATCGTCTCGTTAATACCTTCGAAATGAGTCCAATATTGAATAGTTTTTGACTTAATTATATTATTATATATTATATATACTATGAAAAAATATTTTTAATATTTACGATTTATACTTCTATAGTTATTTATTTATATATATAATATATATTTTGGGGTTAGGCTGTCTAAATTGCACTGTATGATATGTTCTGAATTAATATGTTCTTGGTTTTTTTTTTTGAAATATATATATATATATATATATATATTAATTCAACCTTAACTGAGTTTCTGGACAAGAAAGAGGGTAAGCAGTTGAAATTTCATTCCTAAAACCCATCTTTTTTGGTCTTTTCATGGTTTATGATCTGTCAAATTTTATTTTTCTTTATTGGTTTTGAGTGTTTATCTTAAAACTCAAGTTTCTTGGTTTTTTACTCTTGGTTTAAATCGAACACATTTGTGGAGTCGTTTAAATATGTTGGATTTTAAATATATTGGATTTCAAACTGTCATACAATATTTTTCATCGATAGTCTGTAATTGGAACCATAACTCTTATTTATTCAAATTGTATTAATATGTAAAGATCAAGTGTAACATATATTATCGTTAAATCTTATCTTATAAAACCAGTGGAACTTAATAATCGTTAAAATTTATGGCTCCCGCCGCATTGCGCGGGTACACAACTAGTATATATATATGCGTTGGTTTCGGTGAGAAGACTAAGTGATGAAGAGAAGCGTAAGAAGAGATCTTCACACTCAGATCAATTATAATTGAACACCAACACTAATGAGGTGCATCGAGATGCACGATATCAATTATTTTTCTAAAACGTAATTAATGGGTGGACATGAGATTAAAAGTAGCCAAAAGTTTAGATCTCTTCTTACATTTCTCATCATAATTTTCTTTCTCATGCGATCCTTCGTTGTATATGTATGGTAGATCTTTAAAATTGATTACGAACCTGAGAAACTGCCCATTATGCGTCACGCGACATGTTCGTAAGCAATATGGATGTCTTATTCACCATCAATATGCATTTCATGATGAATACCACTTCCATAATTATTATGAATGTGTAATTCATGATAAATATTCATCTTGAAGAGAAATATGTGGCATGTTGTGTAAAAGAGTAGCATAACATCAGATCTGGTTATTAAATAGCATTTGACCTAGCAGTATCGTAGTCTTTAGCCTTTTAAGAGGTCAGGAGTTCAAACCCCATCATAAATGAGGAGGGTGTATGAGTTTATTTGTACCAACAAAAATCAAATTTGGTGATGGATACCGTAAGAATTGGTGTCGGACCGAAATGAGTTGACGGAGAAAATGTCAAAATGAGATTTGGCATTACATTTCTTAATAATTTTAATTATCAATCTCTGACTTTTTTTTGAAAGAATCTGTTCACTTGCTTTTACACCGTACTTTTTAGAATATGTTTTTGATCAAATTTATAGATAACAAAGCATCTTTAACAATAATGTTGTTTTAGAAATTACAGATGTTTGGGAAAAATTTGTTCCAATAGTTATGCTAAACTCTCATCTAAAATAGATGAAAAAAAATAAAGAGAATGAAGAAATATCTGAATTCAAAAGAAAGCAGTAATGTTTTTATTTATGTTAATTAGAATTTTCGCTACTTTTACTTGCGTTAAGGTATACTAGAAGGGTACTCGTGTAATGCAGCGAGATAAATCTCGATTTTAGTGTTTAGTTTTTTATTTTTTGTCTCTATTGATATAATACGATTGTATGAGGTTTTGAGAAAACAGTAATGTTTTTATTTTTGAATTAAAATATAAATTTAATGATAGCATAAAAATTTGTAAAAAAATAAATTGATAATAGTACCAAATTAAATTAACTATTTAATAGTTATCGTATTTTATATGTAACTTCTTTATTTCAATTTTTTATTATAATTTATTTTAGATTTAATAACAAAGTAAATTATTTTTGGTTTAATAATATAAGTTTTTATAAAAATAATACTTAAACATTCTGTTAGAACTCAATAATTATCTTAATTATATTTTTGATTTTCTATATTTAAAATGGATGTTTATCCTGTATGTGATTATGTTTATCAGCAGTTAGTTACATGAATTTAAAAATTGAGCTTTAATAAGTTGTATCTACGTAAAATTACTTGTAATCTTAAATTTTAAGTAATATGCATCAATAAACAGTACTTCATACATAAAAAATGGTTTTTAAGAGTTTTTGTCAAATGCTTTATCTATATTATATTATAAAGTATTTGATAAAAACTCTTAAAACCCACTTTTTTATGCGTAAAGTATTGTTTATTAATGCATATTACTTAAAACTCAAGATTGCAAGTAGATTGTGCGTAAGTACAACTTATTAAAGCTYYATATYTGAATTYGTGTAACTAACTGYAGATAAACATAATCAAATAYARGATAAACATCTCATTTTAAATATAAAAAATCTAAAATATAATTAGGATAATCATTGAGTTCTAACAGAATACTTAATTATTATCTTTATAAAATGTTATATTATTAAACCAAAAATAAATTATTTCGTTATTAAATTTAAATATAAAAAAATTACATAAAAATTGAGAACTTTTAAATAGTTGATTTTGATATTAACATTGATACATATTTTTTTTCAAATTTTATGATATTTTCAAATTTATATTTTATTTAGAAATAAAATCATTATTGCTTTCTTAAAAACACATAAAATGCTATTATAACATCGACAGAGACAACTAATAAAATAGAACATTAAAATCGAGATGTGTCTCGCTGCATTGCACGAGTACTCTTCTAGTCTATACTATGTTATAACTTGACTGGCGGGAGTTTACACAAACTTAGATACGAGCTACATTTGAAACCAAAAATGAGTAACGGTCTCATATTAAAGCTGATGCGGTGCTTTTTCAGTTACATAAAACGTAAATTAGTTGTATGAATCAACAAGTGACGATTCGGTTTTTTTATTTTGTTCTATTTAAAAAATAAGAATTCTGTAATTTAAACAACGTAATAAATTCCTCTCTCTTTAACTTTAAATTCATAATATTGACGGTTAAATATTCAAAATTAAGTTTAACTTCGAAATTATTTTTGTTTACATTAATATTTAGGGGCCGTTTACCAAATATTTACCATGTAAGTGTTATCCGGTAAAATTAAACATTATCGTTGACTTACCGGGTAAGATTTTAGTCCATCAAAATGGTATCGTATGCAACAATTTATCTGATAAACACTTACTGTGGTAAGAATCGTCGCCTTCATTTACCGGATAAGACTCTTGATCATTTTCTTGTTTTTACGGGGTAAAATGTATATTTTTGATACGTAATATTCATTTTGTATTAAGTTATCACATGGAAATATTTATTAGTAAAACAAACTAAAACCGTAATATTCAATATTTACAGGTCGAAACTGGTTATGGTTTTGTTGAAGGTTGTACGGTGTGCTTTAATGGTGGTACCTTATGCAGCTGACTTTTGGACCTCCTTTTGACCATCACCATACAAATTGCCTTCATCTATGGCAAAGCAGCAGCAGTACAACCATCGTCGGCGTCACTCTTCTCTCTCTTTTTAGGGCACATTTTGCAATCTACAGATTCCGGGATCGACGATTGATCAGTCAGATCTAGGGAAGTTTTTGTTTCTTTTTGTTCGGTTTATGAATTTGTTTTTGATTCATTGAGATTGGCTAACCATTGTGGTTGGTCGAGTTGTGTGGAAGATTCTGATTTAAGGTTTTGATGGAAGTTTTGGGGGTGGATGGTGTTGATTTGGGGATGTGTATATGAAGAAGGGGGAAATATGGAGATTTGTATGATAAGCGTTAAGTAGATCGGGTTTTATCAATGGAATCAACTCCACAATCGAAGTTGTATTCGGATGTTTCTCCTCCGGTGACGGTGCGACATTCTTCATCTTGTGGCGGTGGGTCAAGTGTCGGTGGTAGTGGTTTTGGCTGTATTGAACATACCGTTTCAAAATTCGATACGCTCGCTGGAGTCGCAATCAGATATGGTGTCGAGGTAGTTTCGTAATTCGTTGCTGTAGGATTAAAGTAAATCATGATGCTTACTTTTCATCTGTTTGTTTTCCGTTTTCGTTATTGTTTGATAGTTTGTTCATTAATTTGCAGGAATTTATGATTTTATAGGAATACGATACATTCTGTTATTCACTATCAATGTTAAGAATATTGAATTAGAATTGTTTGTAGGAAATTTGGGTAAGGATTAATTCATAGTTCTGGAGTCTAATATATATGAGCATATGTACTTTGTGGATATTGCTTCGAATACTTGTATGCATAGGCCAATTGTTAAGTTTGTTTAGTTAAATCTGTTCCCTGTGGTCTGAAAAGTGAAAATGGCTACAATTTGTGTTTACCTTACAAGTCAAATGTCTAGTACAAAATTCATATGCCTGTTTCAATTTTACCACTAAAACAACCCATTTGATCTTCCAAAGCCAAAGTCTGCCATACTATGGACCGACATACTTGAAATAGTTATTTTGGGGCAGGATTGTACCTATGGTTAATAGCATGTGTTTGGCTTGGTTTGTGTACTTGTAGCACAGTAGCAGTGTTCTTTGTCTTCTTGAGTTGTGTTGATGGTCACTTATATTTCCCTTCTTCCTAAGCCTTTACTTCTTTATCTGAGGTCAGGGAGGAACATATCATGTTTATCATTTCTTTTGTATGTAATTGCACTTTCTGTCATAGGTGGCTGACATCAAGAAGATGAATGGCCTAACAACGGATTTGCAAATGTTTGCCTGTAAGTCGCTTAAGATACCATTACCAGGGAGGCATCCACCATCTCCCATAATGTCAAACGGGTATCATACTCAAGGGTAAGACATCCGCCTTCTGCCATAATGTTAAATGGATATCATGCTCAAGGGTAGTTATATTTTCGCTTCCTTTTTGACTATTCTTGAATGATAGTAGGTTAATATGTAAATATCTGATGTATATATAGTTGCCTACTCCTATCATTTCTAGGTCTTAGAGTTTGTATTGTGGAAGCCTCCTATATATACCGGAATAGAATTGAGCCCAAGGCAGGACTGTTTTACCCAGTTAGATGATATCAAAGCCTACGCTCCTTGCACCCCTGATTTTTTTCTCAACCATCTACGTCTTCCTGACAGCATCCCCCTGACTACTTACTTTTCTCACAATCTCATAAACTTTGTGTATGGTTTTATTACTTCATACTCCCAGAGTTAAGAAACTTTCAATTATGGACAGGAACAGATTCTCCAAAATGAGAATGAAACTTCAAAATCTCTAAAACAAAAACACATCAACTCCAGTAGATTCTCCATTTTGGAGATCACAACATTGATTATATTATTAAAATATTATATTCGTCTAATAAAATATTATTTATCTCTCTAAATATTTATTTTCAAAGTTTTCTATTGGTGAAAATATATTAAAACTCTCATTGTAATCATTTTTCTCCAAATTTGGAAACTTTTACACTTCCTCTCCTACTTTCTCCATTTTGGAGAATCTGTTGGAGCAAAAAACATGCCCAAAATCCCCAAAATATCTGTTTTCTCCATTTTCGAGAATCTGTTGGAGATGCTCTTAAGAGCCGAGCGGGCTCTCTTGCACCCGGTCACTTGTTTATTGTAAGAGAAAAAAGTTTAGGCGTCCGAAAGGTGCCCTCACTTGATTTTGAAGGGTGCTCTAAAATATTTTGGTGTCAAATTTACAACAGATATCAAACATGGGTGAGAGGGTTTAGGTGCTTAGATTAAATCGTGGGGATTAGGTTGTAGGTTAGGTTCTTACATCCAGCAAATATATCATGTTTGATCTTTTAAATTTCGCCTCCCAGTGCCCATGGGATCTACACATGTTATTACTAAAAACATAACAATAAAGATGCAACAACAATGATCGACCTCACAACCTTAACTACAATTCATATTAAAAGTTTTTTTTATCTCATTTTCAAGGCAATATTTTTATTTCAAAGCCAAGGTCGATTCCATTTGGAGAAAGTGTATTTTATTCCTCAAATCAACACAATTGACTTTTCTCAGAACAACTGCGTTGACTTCCCCCCTGTCCAAACCGATGCTTCGTGAACCGTTGCTGCAACCGATCAAAAAAATTCCCGAGTCCGCCACTGTTAATTATGGAACTGAATGCAATTGCTTAATTGTACTGTTGCTACGTGTTAGTTCCAGTTTACATGTCACATCTGTGATGAGGTACTATATCCATCCCAAAAAATGCAATACTTTCTATCTTGTGTTGTCCCATAATTGCTGACATTTCCTTTTCTAGTAAGATTCCAATCCAAATTTACCTATCTGCTCGTTGAGAACACAATATTGGTGAAATTGATTTTTGTTCTCAAGTTTTATATAGTTTTGTCTTGTCAAGGGCCATTTCGCTATTTGATTGTTACTTAAATACTCCCATTAAACTGTACGCGTTAATTCAAAATTTGCATTTTTTGGGAGGGAGTACATATTTAATGGAATCGCGACAGAGTGCCTTTATCCGTGTGTTTTATTTGTGTACAATATACATGTATGTACAACTACACACAGGCTTACACACACATACGTACTGCACATGTACGTGATGATTTCGAACTTAATGTACTATACTATATGCTGTTTGATGCAGGACAGTAATCAAAAGATAGAACTGGGTTATTGCTTTATGTTAACATATGTTTAAGGAGATTCATGGTGAATAGTAGGAAATAATGATGTATCAGAAACTATAAAAGTTGAAGATGTATGATGTTAATGTTCACTTATCTTAATCTCGGTATGCAGATCTTTCATTAACATCTTTATTGTTCGTAATATACCCGAATCAATCATATGGGTAACTAGATTTGTCCTTGTCTAATGTTTGGAAAACTAAAAGAATTATAGAACTTTTTTACACTCTGTGCATCGATGTGTTGTGTGCCTATATAGATTGCTTATCGTGGTGATATTCTTGCAGACAAACAAGCCCGGAGATGACACGCCCCAATCGTAGATATTCTGATTCATTTAATCCAATTGAATCGCTGAAACTATCATCTTCACCCCATCGGAACATCTCATCGTCCATCAATTCTTTACGAGACTATTATGGTCTTAAGCCAAATGATTGGAATGGTGTTGATGAAGGTTTTGAAATGACCCGAACCTCCACCCTACCCCTTGGTCTTCACCGGAAATCAAAAAGCGAGGCTAATGGATTTTCCAAGACCCATGCAATGGATAATGTTCCCGTTGCAAACGGGAAAGGAGCTGGCATCGATAAAAGCATCGAGAAGTTGGTAAGACGACGTAAATCAGAGGTCGACCTCAATAATCACACCCTGGAAATGCTGCTTAAACACGACAACAACAACACCACCACCAGCAGTAGTAGGATCGTGTTATCCACATCCGCCGGAAAAGGCTTAGCGTTGCGGCAAAAAACCGCTAACCGAACAACCATTGAATCCGAAGCAGGTTCCTCCAACATGTTTCCGGTAGGTTCTAGAGATTCGTCAATCGTCCAGGCTTTCAATGGCGTGAGGAAGTCTTCAAGTGCACCGAGCTTTCAACACTCAGAGACTCATAACAACAACAGTAACAATAACAACACCAGTAGTCCTTCTTCATCGTTATTTTGGCCAATTTCCATTCTGAACTTCACCGCAGATCTTCAAGCGCTATCTACAACAACTCCAATCTTCGATGGATTGCCGAGGCCGGTCAGCGGTCGGAAGAACAAGGCGGCTCGTGATTAGTAAAATGTGGCTCATTTTGGCTCTACTATTTAAAGGACCCCCATTTTAGTGTGCATATTATGTTCATGTTGGCAGCAATTGGATTGATGTGATTCAGAGAAAATAGAAAGAAATGAAATGGTGATAGGGAAATAAGAGACGGTTAGATAGCAGAAGAAATGGTGTTTAGGAGGTTTTGCGATTGTATACTTGAATTTGCTGAGAAGGATAACAATCAACTCTCTTTCCACTTATATAATTCTTTCTGGTATTAATCCAGTTTTTTCGACCTTTCAGATATCTATACTATATCATAAAGCATTTGACAAAAACTTTTAAAAATTATTTTTTATGCATGAAATATTGTTTATTGATGCATATTAATTACTATAAGTAGATTGTGTTTAAGTATAACTTATTAAAGCTTTATCTTTGAATTCTTGTAACTAACTGCAGATAAACATAATCAAATACATGATAAACATCTCATTTTAAATATAACAAATCTAAAATATAATTAAGATGATTATTGAATTCTATCAGAATACTTAATTATTATCTTTATAAAAATTATATTATTAAACATAAATTAAATTATAATTAAAAAAATTGAATTAAGAAAATTACACCAAACACAAGAACTTTTAGAAAGATTTATCGATATATTTTCTTAATATTTTTATAATAATTTTAAATTTATATTTTATTCAAAAATAAAAACATTATCATTTTCCCAAAATCACATAAAACCGTAATATGTCGACATAGAAAGGGAATAAAACGAAATACTAAAATCAAGATGTGTTTCGATACATTGCACGAGTACCCTTCTAGTCTTAATAAGAGGTCGAAAGATGATTTTCTGAATTTGGAAAATTTGGTACATAATGAAAAAGAAAAAAATGTATATAATTTTATATTATATTTACACTCATAAGAAACCTGATTCAATTGTTAAGACGCCAAATCACATTAGCTTAACGAATAAATATGACAAGAACCAACAATCTTACGAAAGCAAGGACTAAGAGGTTGTATACTTATAATTTAATGGGCTTAATTGGGCTTCCGGCTTATTTGCATATTCAAAATAGGGCGTTTACTTGGAGCTTATTCGCACGGATGGATATGGGTTCATTCAACCGGAAAAAAAAAACACGATCCCCCTAAGTTTTCATGAACACGTCTCTTCGAGACACGCCTCCTTCCATGAACACGCCTCTTCTTCCTTTCTGGCGACCGGCGATTTCTTCTTCCTTTATGGCGGCCAGCGATTTCTTCTTCTTGGCATCTCTCAGGCGATCGTCGACTTTGCATCATCGGCTATCTCCGACGACCATCTGTTTTTATCTCCAGAGGTATCCATTTTTCCTCCCCCATTGCACTGTTGATGACAAGAACAACCTTCGATCAAAGAATCGTAAGCAAATATAACAAGTATTAGGAATCGATTCCAAGCTACTGTTGTGTTTATGTGGATTATTTTGGTATTTTTAGGTTTTGGTTTGAAGAATAATAGTTTTCCTGGTTTGATGAATAACAACCTTTTGTTTTGATTTTGATTTTGATTCGATTCTTGTAGCAGTAGCTTTTTTTTATGTTTAAATGGTTTGATTATTATGTTTTGATAATTTGATGTTCAAATGTTTGATTGTTATATTTTAATGTTCAAATAGTTTGATAGATTGATAGATTTTTGGTTTGAGTTTGATTGAACTGCTCTAAAGTTCGAACATGTTTGAGGGGCAGATCGGTCATTATTGTCATTTAGACGATTGATTCAGTTAAAAAAGTAAACAATAACAAATTTTTATCTAGGCATACAAATTTATCCATACATAAATTGATGGAACATTGGTAAACAGCCTCTAAGAGTCTTACCCGGTAAGTGAAGACGACAATTTTTACCACGATTAGCACTTACCCAGGTATATTGTTACAAACGATGTCGTTTTGATGGATTAAAATCTTACCTGATAAATAAACGATAATGTTAAATTTTACCGTTAAGCTCAGGTGATTTTTTAGCTACACCGATTTCTTTCATCTAGTTACTAGTGGTGTACCCGCGCGATGCAGCGTGTGTGAATTACAATTTTAAAATATTAGTCTGGCCCAAAATATTGAGTTTGTGTGGTTATTTTGCAAGTCAACCCGAAACAGTTTGTGGATCACAATCGTCTGTTGTATTTCTTTCTTTTCTGATGAATTGAATCATCTTTTGTAGAAAAAAGCCTCAAGATATCACTCTACACCCATCGAGACAAGGTTGGAGAGAGGACCGGACAACGGTGCTACTTAAGTTATTAATGCATATTGTTTAAATGTACAGGGGTTTTTCTATGTTTATCTACAAATTGTAATTTGGTACTTTTATACAGTTAAAACAGTCAATTTTCAATTCCATAAATATAAACATTTGATTTTTACAAACTATGCCAAGAGTTCTAATAAATGATTGATATCATGCATGAAATAGAAGTAGTAAGGGGCCATTTACCCAAATACTTACCCGGTAAACGCTTACCGGGAGGAGACGACACTATAATATATTTTACCAGATAAGATTGTAGTATATTAAAACGGTATCCTATGCAACAATTTACCCGGTAAACGCTTACCCGGGTAAGAATCATCACCATCACTTACCGGACAAAACTCTCTATCCTTATCATCGCTCTTAGCGGGTAAAATTTTCGGCCCTTGCCATGTGTATCAGGTGAGGAAAGTTACTCGATCAACATTTACCAGGTAAGTGTTTAGTAAATGGCCCATAAGAGATGGTTGTTTTAATCTGCAGTATGGAAGCTATCGACGGCAAATTCTTGTGCAAGACTTGAACAAAAAGTGGAAGCAACTCATTTTACAAACATCTGTATGCTCTTATTTTCTGTCTGGATTTGAGCTCAATGAACCATTGAGACATTCTAATTTTTATTTTACTTCACCAGCCTACAACACCATTGGAGCACTGTGAGTGGCTCAACAAGCTCTTACTGTTGAGACTTCCATGGTGAAAGAACCATACATCATGTTCACAGAGCTTAATACACACCATGCATATAAAAAGTACTACCACAAAATTATGACCAAATCATGACACATACAGAAGAAAAAGGAACCTAACCAGGTCAGAAAACTGCGAAAAGAGCAAAATCAAAATAAAAAAATATTGTCAAGAACGTTTTAGATACTATGCCATCTAAATTCAAATAAACAATCAAGACTCTTTAAGAAACATACATGTTGCCTGTTTAGACTTCCAAGTAAAATTGGACTACATTTGATGGAGCCTTAGAATATGATGTCAATTGGACATTTTCCTGAACTTCGTATAAGTGGTGGCATGGTAATTAGATAATGGAGACCAAAATAGCAAAGTTCATTACTTTTTTGCGTAATTACAATGCTAACGAACAGATTAAGTTAAAAGATCCACGAACAAACCTCAATAGTTAGATCCACCTAAGCTTTGATGCAAAACCAAAACCATAGAACCCGTTAGTAGCACATAAAGATGAAACCGAATACCAATGAGATGTTGGGTGCACAGAGGTCAAAGAAGTTTCAGGGTCAAGGGCCAAACTGGATTCTCATAGTCGATGGTGCTTTGTTAAGTACACTGTCAGTTCGGCTTGGTTACATGCTCAAACAGGTCCTGGACTTGAAGCAACCAGAAAACACCAATGGTAGTTTAAAAGGTATTATAAGCTGTCAAATGGCTTGCCTTTGGTCTTCACCTTGTACAATTTTTGAATTTCTCAAGTTGTTAAAAGATGCAGAGAATGGGAAACTCACAGCTAGAAAAAGGTCGGGAAATTGTCGTTCACATTTATACTTGTATTGTTTTGAACAGGATGATGGCTGCTTCAATTGCATGTCTGGTATGAATTTTGTAGGTCCATTTTAAGTTGCAATGCTTGATTCTAGTTTTTGTTTTGTTTTGACGTAAGACCTGACTGATTGCAATCTTTGGTTCTTATTTACTGTCTTACCTATATATATAGAGAAGTAAATATTCGCTGCTTATATAAGAAGCACACATGGGTGCGTGGATTTGGTGTTTTAACTACAATTCAGTTGTGGGCTTGTGCACACATGTGGATGTACATGCAGATATTCTTTAAATAAAATGGACAAATAACTTAACAAAGAAGTAGAAACCAACGTCCCCTTTGACAGAGAAACTTGGCAGATAAGAATACAAAATAAAAGGACAGGACTTCAGAATTTTCTGGCATGTGACGCCTATGTCTACTTAGGAGGCTTTCTGGTTATTAGATGAAAATTTGCATAATTGTTGGATTTCAAAAATTACATGTGAAACAAGCACAATATGAAACAACGCTAGAAGGTATATATTGCCTAAATGTCACTTCATGTGCCACACGGTTAGTTGTGATTCAAGTTGAGTATTCCAACACTGATTAATTTGGAGATTGACATTGTACGGAGACAATATGAGAAAGCAAGCATCAGCATGATATACAAAAAAGTTACCTGACTATCCTCCCTGATTCTTAAAATTTGTCTTGCTAAATTCAACAAGTCGTTAACAACCTAAAGAAAATAGGAATCTTAAGACTGCAACATTACATAACAGAAACCAGGTGTCATGTAGGTTATCCGTATATATTTTATTCAGTGTGTTGATTTGGTATGATCATAAGTGGCATTTATGCAGATTGATGTAAAGTAGAGATAAAAAGAAGAGCTAGAAAGGTGAATACATTCAATTATGAGACAATTTCCTCGCAAGCTTAGTAATAAAAACACAGTTACTTAAACCAAATCAATACAAGATTAAGCAAGGTTACCCTCCTCCTTGAATCACCTGCATCATGACACATATAGAAGAAAAAGGAACCTAACCAGGTCAGAAAAATGCAAAAAGAACAAAATCAAATCATACGGTAGAACACAAACAAACTCAAATCATAAACGTAAATCCGAACACGTAAAACCCTAAATCATTGCAAATATAAGTCAAGATTGAGAACCTCAAACATAAATAAATATAAGAACAAGAAATAAAAATAGAACTCGAACAACATTTTGATGGCAACAACGGGAGATTCGAACCCTAATGAAGCACATTTTGAAGAGGTGAAGGAAGATGCTCTACCGTAGTACCGTACGAAGGAAATTAAAAACAAACCGTATGAAATTAAGAGTATGGATCGAATGGAAAAAACCTAACAATATGGAATCAGGAATGATGGATCGCATTAAGCAGCGAAAAAAACCCTAACCGTATTGATATAT